TTTGGCAGTGGGTTCCACTGTTTTGGAGCATAATAGCTAAAAGCTGCCTCACCACTTTATTTACATTCTAACTTTGGAATACACAGATGTCTAGGATTGGTAGATCTCAGAGTTCTAGTGGGAATATAAAAGGTAAGATCGCATGAGATATGACATCATCACGTTTAGCCACTTGTGGAAGTTCAGAATGTGTCAATCAGATATATTATACAGTGTTAAATGTGGAACGCTTTTTCCAAGGATTTGTAACATTAGCCACTGGGTGTCTGTTTTAGCTTAAAACTAACAAACAACAAACTCCTAAATAGGAGCCAAGTCATTTGTAGCTTTTATGTGTTTTTTGGGTGGGGTAGTTACATGAGTGATTTAACATAAATTAAAGGTGAGTCCATGGAAATGGTTTCCACAACCATCACCAAAATTAGGAAGGGTGCCATAAAAATATAAGTAATTCAATCCAGCAGCAGCAGCAGCACTAAAAAGAGGCCAGAAGCAGGCATGTGCAGGAGTGAGCAGGCCTTTCTGAAATGCCACAGTGCCGTTCCTTAGGCCATGCCTTACACTGTCGGCTGCATCGTGAGATGTACTGGCCTGAAGAGTGGTACCTCTGTTTTGGTGTTTGTCTCTGGCACATTTCAGCACCCTTTGTAGCTGTGAATTCTTCTTCTTTGCTGAATGTTTCATATCAGTTCTTTGTGAATGCATTTTAGAGATCTATGTAGATCTTTTACAGCATGCTATGGCCTTTAGTGTTTCTAACAGATTTGTGTTTTTCTTAGGAAGTTACTGGGTATAGATAAATGATAACTTTGAAATGCATGCAGGACATTTATGAGTCAAACTGATACTTCTGAAGACATTTAGTTTAATAGTGAAATGGAAAGTGAAAGATATGTACAGAATTGGCACACAGATTGGCATAAGTCTAAGATGTGTAAGAGCTTAAGTAGGGGCACCCCTGGATCACACAGACACTTTCCTGCGCCGGTATTACCCACTATTCCCGATTAATTGAGTATTGGTGATTTGTGAGTTCCTGTCTTTATTTATAATTTATGCCGTTTGTTGACAGTGTTTGAAAATTGTCAAAGTCCCCAGAAGTAGCAGCTAGAAGGCAAAGCTACTGTATGATCAGCAAGGTAAGAAGAGGTCTGTTCAGGGAAATGCTGTATCACAGAGGCAAACTGTCCCTCATACAAACAGTATACCAAACGCTTTATAAAACACCCAGGTCCTGTTCTGTATTAAATTGTGCTAAAACAAATGACTGGCTACGGAAATGTGTCTACTCCCACCCCCATATGATTTACATGACCCAGCAACACATTACAGTGAAATAAATGTGTCATTGAGGTATGACATCATTACCATGACCTGTAGATGGGAAGTTCCTGAATAATTGCCCTGTTCCCAAAAGTCACCCTGTGAATATGAGGAAAGGTGTAAAATCAACGTTAGGGAAACACTTTAGGCAGCATTATAAATATGTCAGTTGAGTTTTTTCTTTTTCGTAAAAACTAAGGTAACTCCATGTTGTTATTTTCCAAGTCTTTGCAGTAAGCCTCACATCCAAGCCATGGCAGTGTTATTTTTATTGGAGACAAGTATTGCTTACATTCAACTCTCTAAAAGTTGGTTACATCATACTACTAAATTGAGAGGTCCAGCTCCCATAGAGAATTGTGCTCTAGTGGATTATGAAGGTAGGTGTGAAGACTGAGGCCTGGGAGGAATGTGGCTGTATGAAGGCAGGAGTGAAGACTGAAGCCTGGGTGGAATGTGGCTGTATGAAGGCAGGAGTGAAGACTGAAGCCTGGGTGGAATGTGGCTGTATGAAGGCAGGAGTGAAGACTGAAGCCTGGGTGGAATGTGGCTGTATGAAGGCAGGAGTGAAGACTGAAGCCTGGGTGG